GTTCTGCGCATAGCAAGGGCGCACGACGACAATGCAATGCGCTCAGTGGCGGCGCCAGGATTCCAAATTTGGGGGGGCATTTGAGGGGCAAACTCAAATTTTGGGGGGGCAAGATATAATTTTTAAAAAGGTCGCCCCCCCCAGGAAATTCGCCCCCCCCCCCTCAAAACGTGGCGATATTCCTAAGAATATCGCCCCCGGGGGCGAATATCCTAGGAATATCGCCTCCCAGGGGGGTCGGGCGAATACCCTAGGAATATCGCCCCTCTTTAGGACATTCGCTCCCCATGTATGCGATGTGGTTTATTCAAATAATTTCGTGATACTTTCATCTTATTATTGCCTTACACGTTTGAGAATTTAACTCTTCAAAACTAAAGCTTTTTTGTCTTTTTTTGAAACGTATTATTGGAGTATTGGCAAGTTTTACCATTCAGAGATTTACAAACTAATATTGAAACTGTAAAAACAGTTTCATGTATACGCGCATTCACTAATGAGTAATGACAACTTATAAGCCATACATTTTCCGATAACGACAGAACACTTGTGTAGCCTTTAGTCGCTCTTAGTGACTAATAATTTTTTTTGAGGGGGGGCAAAATGGGGGGGCAAAAAATAATTTTGGGGGGGCATTTGCCCCCCCTTGCCCCCCCCTGGCGCCGCCACTAAATGCGCTAAATAAAAATTATTTATTTACTTTGCCATAATACTTATACATTCACTGACTGGGAAACCACAACAGCTATGCCAATTACAGTGGCCCCACATTACTTCAAAACCACCTCTCTGCATATATTAGATAACTGTGATACAGAAAATCTGAATACGGCAAAAATTCTTAATAGCTTTACGAAACGGAAATTATATAAACAAGGCCGCCGGACAACTCAGTTCAGGGTGCCCCCCTGGAAGCCAGATTGCCTGGGTGCCCCCGGCTCTTACCGGGTAGAGCTCATAGGAGTTACGCCACTGCAAAACGACGAATATATTTGACTTTCGCAAGCGAGTATAATTACATCATTTTCTAATTTACTTTAAAGGTTAAGAACTGTCAGAAAAGACAGCAATACAATAGCCTATATTATACTCGTTTTCAAACCGTCATAACTAGTACTGCCCATTTTGTAATTTACGTCGTCAAGGACAATTACAGGGCTCTATAGATGCGTAAGGGGCGGACCATTTGATTTTTGAGGGGGGAGGTGGAAGATTCAGTCTATGCAAGAATTTTTTTTCCGCCCAGGCGAACGAGACAGATATTTTTTTCCTGTAAAAGTGCAGCGCAAGATATTTTTTTCCCAATATATTTGGCCGCAGGATATTTTTTTTGCCTCTCATAATAACGGCTTACAGTAACTTTAGGCTTTCATATAGCTATCATTGGAGACGTAGCAGGGGTTTTCAGTCAGAGGAGGCCGAGAACTGAATCCCAAGAGGGGCCAAGGAATTTTCACTGTGCTTTATTTTATATATGGTTATGTCTTAATGTTCCCCACACTAAAGCGTGCAAGTTTACTTACAAAGAATGTATAACTGCACCAAAACCTAAAACATGCAGGGATAGAGTATAGTACTCGAAAATGGGGGAGGGTACAGTATATGAATGACCTGTAACCTTGGGGGGTTCGGGGGCATGCTCCCCCGAGAAAATTTTAAAATTTGAACCTCGGAAATGCTATTTCCTGCGTTTTCAGCCATGGATAATTATCTTAAGCCCAGATTTTCTCAGGGGGGAGGGCAACAATTTTGCCAGGGAACACCACTGGCTACCGTATGTCAGAGGCTCCAAAGGCGGTAGAATCCCTGTGATGTTATCCACTGTTCACCCCGTGTTCTTTTAAGCAAATGTGCCTGCTCAAAAATGCAAAATCTTGCAAGCCTGTGGACACAATACTGAAGTGAAGAGCATCAGTAGAGTTACATGTAGAAAATTTTTTTTTGAGCGCTCTCTTTTGCATGATATTTTTTTTTCTCGATTGTGTGCTGCATGATTTTTTTTTTCTTTCTCCTTGGGTTGCAGGAAATTTTTTTTCAAATCTTCCACCCCCCTCAAAAGTCAAATGGTCCGCCCCTAAGCAGTGCTGTAATATTTACCTTATTTTTGTAACTAGTTACAGTTACATCATCAAAAAATTAAATAGTTACCGTTACAAGTTACAGTGAATAAAAAGTAACTAGTTACAGTTACAAAAATTTTGTAACTAGTTACAAAGTTACATTTATATTTTAGTATTTGGTCACAGTAAAAAACCACGTTTAAGAACCTATACATTTTCACGCCAATAACAAATTTTAATTACAACATCAACAAAATTAACTCGAGCAACAGCTTGATGAAAGACACTACGTTTAATCTTTCACGCCAAATAAATGAGTTTGTATGTACTGTAGGTTGTCCACAAGTGCACTGTAGCAGGGTAGGAAAAATATTCGAGTGATTTTTCAAAATTCAAAAGTTCAAAAGTGCGAATTGAGCGAGAACTCTGCGCAAGTCCTTCATTGAATAATTAATAGATCGGGAATAAACAGCTTTTTCAATAATTTAAAACATCGCCAAAGTAACGGCATTCTCGATGGCCGAATGTAACTAGTTACCGTTACTATTTACTAATTTTTGTAACTAGTTTATACAGTTATTAGTTATCTTCCCAAACTAGTTACTGTTACAGTTACTCAAAAAAGTAAGGATTACTTGCAACTAGTTACTTGTAACGAAGTTACAGGACTGGCTTTAAGTTACGAAGTGATACCATGATAGCCAAGTTTTACGAAGAGAAAAGCTGCAGACAGTCGATTCTTTGTTATACAGTGTGTATTAAAAAAACTGAAGAGATTGAAATTGCTCTCAAATTCACAGAACAGCTATTAGTATCCAGTTTTTGATATACTGTATACCGGGTGGCCCCCAAAAAGGTACTCCTCTTTGATTCAGTAGAACTTAAAAATTAAAAGAGCTACTACACTTAAACAAAAAGAATTTAGTTCATGATCAGTAAGGTCTAACTTTAATTTTGGGATATGCCATGTATATTTTAACATAGTTTTGGCCGAGATATTTGGGTTTGAAAATAAGTAAACATTTTCAAAATTGTCGAAAATTGCAAAAAACGGCCTATTAAACTATAATTTTGACAACCAGTAACGAAACTATTCGATATCTTCGGGGACAACTTCTTGGCCGAAGTCGATTGATGAGTAAATGGGGTGATTCGCCTTGGCCTCCTCGTTCTCCTGACCTGACGGTTTGCGATCTTTTCTTTGGGGCTACTTGAAGCATCGAATTTGGAATGTGCCACATGATCAATTAACCAAATAATTTTAGAGAGCTTCGTAAGGCAATTGTAACAGCATACCGCAACCTGGATCCCCAGATGATCCGAAATTCCTTCGACTGCATGCCCACATTTCTTGTTGGGGGACATGCATTTCCCAATGAATAGTATTTTTATTTGGAAAACAAACGAATACTTTTCGACTGCAGTGTTGCCTACACACAGATTATTGTGCCGTTCTTCGCTAATTTTCTACATTTCCAGAAATCTTAACTCAAATTTACACGCAGTTATCTCAGTCAATACTGTATTAAAATGAACATGGCACATGCTATATACCAAAATTTAAGTTAGACATTGCTGAATACAATGCTTCTTGTTTAAGTGTAATACTTCTTTTAATTTTAACTGAATTAAAAATTTAACTGAATTAAACTTTTTTGAGGCCACGCGGTATCTAACGTCTTTGGGTACTTATAATGTAGAATAATGATAAAAATTTCTGGAACTCAAATTTTGTAAACCAGGGGGGAGTGTCTTTTCCAACAAACTAAAAAATGGCTTGCGCACGAGATAAAAAAGCTTTAATTGTATCTTGAGTTAATAAGTGAAAAATGTGTTGGGTGTTTAATTGCTGCACGAAATTTCAGACAATGTGCTTCCGTTTACGCCCTTTAACTTTTCACACAAACTTACATTTTTGGAAAAAATTAGCCTTTTGCATGCTTAATTAATGCCTTTGCTAATTTGCATATTGCAGTATATGCAAATTAGGTAAAGGCATTAATTTAAGCATGCAAAAGGCTGATTTTTAGGAAAAATGAATAGGTTTGCTTAATTTGAATAGATTTTGTCTGAAATTTTGTACATTAATTAAAAACCCAACAACTTTTCCATCCATTAACTCAAAATACGATCAAAGCTTTTAAATTTCGTGCGCAAGACAATGACTTTAAATAGAGTCAAGACATCACATTGTCCATTTGCACTCAGAATGGTGTCCTTGTTCATTGTATGGAGGTGTCCTACACAGTCTCCGTAAGCAAAGTTCCACGTCTTATAACCTAATATATGGGCGTATAAACTGACATCACAGGCTTATACAAGGACATGATTACCTACCGAGAATTCCAATTAACACCACAATAGTTCATATTTTTTTAAAGGAATATGGCAATATAAATTAGATTAATTTTGTCTTATTTGAAAAAACAATGAAAATGATATATAAACTTCCTTATTCCGTACCTTGCTTGGTTTTCAAAATAAATCGACTTATTTTGATCAAAAGCAGCGTGGATTCCGCCATCTTGGATATGCATTCGATATGCATACGTCACAAGGACGGTAAAAAGCGAAATTTTTATCTTGCAAACCACGTGTCATTATCGATATGAAACTCGATTTTCCGAAGTCGTTTTAGTACTCAACTAACTCACAACATTTTAAGAAACTTTTCGAAGAAATTTAGTCCCACATGAAGGAGTTTTAACAAGTTTACACTGCTTGTGACGTCATCAAAAATCAGTTAATAATACCACGATGGCGGACTGCAGGCTGTTTTTGGTCAAAATATTTCAAAACCTAGCAAGGTACGAAAACGTTGTAAAGGGTCTTCATATATAACTTTAAAAGTTCTTTCAAATAAGACAAAGATGATTTTTATTGCCATGTCCTTTAATATACACTTTCTTGAATGTACCTCCACACAGGAACAAAACATACCTTCACCAGTGTACGTGAAACATTCTCCATAGTCCAGATCATCCTCGTACCCACCCGACAGCGCAATTGAATAACAGCCATCCTCGCCACCATGAATACCAGCTACTGTGGGTCTAGCAAAAAATTATACATACACTTAACTAAATATATAGGTTGCAGAAATTGCTTATAATGTATAAAATGTAATTTAGGCCGTATTCTGTGGCATGAAACATCGCTTAGAACTGATGAATTCCGTTGCCCGGGTTCGGGCACTATTTTGAAACAAGATAAATAATTAGGATAAATCATACGAAGTCCAAATTCGCTTGTTTGCACTTCCCAAAACCTGCAGTTTTTAAGTATTTCTTCTTCGAAAATTCAAGAAATCGACATCTTTCGCAATCGATCGCCGCCGCCACTTTTGTTCAGATACTTGGTGTAATAAACATTATAAATGGCGATTTAATCGCGGGCTCACACTCGTTCTTCATGAAGTTTCGTAAACATCCGCTGTGCAAACATGGCTCGGTGAAGCTGCCTTTGAGGGGTTTGGTGGGGTATTAATTGAGTAAAATTTTAAACTTTTTTTTTCAAAATTACACAAATCATAAAATAATTAAACGGGAAAACTCCTGTTTATTTGAGGAAATTAACTACAAACACAAAACTATTTAGAGAATTTCAGAATCATTTAATTAACATGTATCATGCGTTACTCAATTACAATTCTAAAGAACGTTTTCTTTCTATTAAGTTCTATTACATTTATTACTGCTAATTACAACGCCAAATGCTCATAGTCAATAGAGCGTTTGTCGTGCACCAAAATCAGCATTCATTTCTGAAGAAACGTGCTTTTTTCTTGTTCCACCCACTCAAAAAAATAATCGCCTCTGTAATTCCATAGATATACCATACATTTTATCACAGATTTTAATATAGCAAATTTAGAGTGGACAACGTACAGTACACAGTTTTACAAAAAAATAAACGCACATGTCTATGTAACCAAACGATGGAACACCATGCTGCTTAGCCGCACACGAAAACCAAAAAAACCCTTTGGGAAAATCTAGAACGTGTTCTCCACCCCATGCTACAGCAACGATTTTGGAAGTTAAAAGCTAACTCTTTCCTTCCTTTTGATACTGGTCTTCGGAATTTCGTTTAGTGTTCTACTGTATTGGTGTTCGTCATTGGATCTGAAAAAATAACCGCAAAGCAGTTTCCTTTGTTATGAAAATTTTACATTAATTCATTAAAACCTGCTATTTGTAGGTGCATATTATAAATATGGAACATGCCAGTGTGGGCATGGTGCCAGTGTAGGTTGTTGTCCTTCTTGGATTAATCTGCCCGAAAAATACAACAAGGGAATACATAAAGGATAAAGCATGGGTGGCAGACGCGGTTAGCACAATTAAGCTTGCTATACAACATGTTGAAGACACGGTGGTTCCAATGCGTATTTCGTGTGTTCCTCTCCGGATGCTGCGGTTTTCCTCCATGTATTAACAATGTCGAGCACTTTATATATCAACTATGCTATTTAAAAATGACTGCCTTCCTTTAAAAATATTACAAAAATAAAAATTTTGAACTTAGCTTTTTCGACCAGACAACCAGTGTCACAAATCATCGCCATCAGTCATCAGTCATCATTGGCAAAATCCGATTCTCTAGGTTCTTCTTCGTTGTCATATCCCGCCATTTCATCCAGACAACCAGTGTCACAAACCATCATCATTACCAAAGTCCGAATCAAATTCTTCAAGTTGTTCTTCGAGCCATACCATTACCTTCCTCCTCCTCATCATCATCATCATCATCATCTTCTTCCTCATCGTCTTGATCTTCATCTGCTGTATTCTGGCAACCACAACATGAACACAAGTGCACTTCAAGTCGGCCTTTCTGCACGAACAGCGGATGGTCGTGTATCCGGTCTTACACTTCTTGCACTCGACACACTCAAGCAAGGATTGTGGAGCAGGCGGGCACGTCATCTAAACAACCTCTAACTTTTCATTCGTAAGTGTCCACCTATTACCAGATGGCGAAGGAATATCAATTTCTGCATTAGAACACTGGCACCAACATGCTGTTTGGAAATTTGCTCTGTTGATATGTTGGACAAGGCCGTCGTATGTTGGGGGCAAGACGTCATCCGAACATTTTCCAGATTTAAAAAGAGACTATCTACAATCATCCGCATTTGTCGATGTTTTGTCTCAGTACAGGAGGCGTGCGAACCTGTTTAGTTCGTTTATAAGATCTTCTGATGGAGGAAACCCACGCATCGAAAGGCTTTCAGCAAACTCAGGACAGGCAACCAACGTTTTCCAAGCAGTTTTCTTTCCTTTCCATGGAAAGAGCTTGTACTGTCACAACCTACAATTAAAACCAAATTTAAGTCATGATCGCAAAGTCGGCAAAAATGACTGTCAAAGAGAAAGAAAAAATGTCATATTTTAGTTGACAAACATGTACAGTATGCATGGGGAATGAAACTTTCACTGTTCTGTTTCACTGTTTCTTAATTAGCACACCCACAAATTTATTATTTGTCAATAATTCCTGTTTCCCATGCCTGGGTATGAGGTTTGTTTACAGTCAAGTCAACTTAGGGCAGATAATTAAGAGTTAAATTACCTTTAAGCCTCCATCTTCAAATATCTTTGACATAGCCGACAGATAGGTCATGATAGTGTGGAATTCACCAAGGCGTACAACAAATCGATTGAAGAATGTCTCTTCCTTCCAGCGAACCTGTTGAACTTTAGCATATACAGCTTTGTCAAAAACCAACACCGCATATTTCAGTTCCAACTTATCAGCGATTTCTTTGCTCCTTGTAAGGATTGTGTTGATAGTGGAATATTCTGTTGGCGATGCATCAATCACCAGCAAATAGCCAACCCTGGATACATGTGGTAGTTCTCGACTAAAGAGCATGGTATTAAACCCCGTCTATCCTGATAACACTTCTTCATTTGCAGCACATACATATTTGATTAAGATATATGCTAAATAAAGTTTAGAAGCTGTCTGTGTTTACTAAAGTAAGTTCCAAACATTCAGGATCCAGTTCAACACTTTGAAATATAGGTGTTTTCTTTACTCCAATACTGTAAGGCACAATATCAGTTGTAGACATTTCTACTGTCCGCTGTGTCTTCTTTATTAGGGTTGTCTGGTTTGATGAACTTATCTGTTTTTGAACACAGACTTTTGAGTAATGATCCCGTTGGTAACATGAGTCTGTTTAGCAATTTCGTCTCCAAAATCAACGTTGTCATAAAACAGATTGACATACTTATTTGCAACAACTTCCCTTGGAATAATTTTTGATGTGTTGATAGTTGCCTATGCAATAGCTGAATCATATGCCATTGTCGAAGATAGTGAGACACAATGTCCAAAACCACCCAAAATCCTAATCAGGACAGAACAACCAGGGACTTGGGTGTCTGTACTTTCCCCTTAATAGAAATATAGAGTAGAGTATAGACCAAATCTTGATACAGAGAAAAAATCTTTGATGTAGTTTGCTCATCTAATTCAATTTAGTCAGCATCTTCTGGCTCAGTTGAAAACCCAAGCATCCATGCCATAAAATTAAACAAGAGAGATGATACTAACTTTCTAACGTTTTCACCAGTAATATCTGATCCATATGGTGGCCAGTTCTTGTACCAAGCTAATGTACAATCATGCAAGTTGTTTCTCATTGTTAGGCCAACTGTATACATTTCTTTCAAAGTTGCACTTGTGTACGTGGATGCTTTCGTTCCAATGTCAATATCAAATTCAGACTCTTGTGAACTCTGAGACGATTCTATGTCATCATCCATAAAACTTTCTGCTACACTTGCTTAAGTTGCTTTACTAAGGCACTCTCCATAAACAATTTTCACTCTTGTTTCGTACCTTTGGTCTATCGAAAACAAGTTGTGAAAACCTTTCACACAATCTTTGCTTTAATCGAAAAGATCTATAACTTGAGCCATAAATAATCAATAAAGAAACACTGGAAATATATGCTGTCTTTTTCATTTAAAATATACGTAACGATCAGCTTTTAAAGCTATTATAAAGCGAACAATACATCAATATTTAAAACAAACCTACCTTCGTTAACGTCGGCGACTTTACTCCCTTCTTTTATAGCAATTCTTTCCTCTTTATTTTCTTAGAAAGCTTTTGAAATTCACAAAATCTTGCAAAAATGAAATATATTTGCAAGAAATCATCAAATCAAGAAATGTTTGCTATTTTGCTGTCGTCATGCAGTCGTTATAATGCAAATTTTAAATTTGACCAATCAGTGTTCGCTATTCATGACAGTCCGCCATATATTTGAGATCAGTGAGGATGACCACCCACCCAACACTCGAACACCGTTGGTGACCCACGCCCGCGATCAATGATGAACTTTAGACTTCGCTACTGCTTTCGTTTCCCCGGGTGTAAATAGCCGGGCGGAATTAGTAGGACAATAATTGTAAAAAAATAAATCAATAAACTTACCGATTCAGTGGAATACAACTTTTCTGATTTGCAAATTATACAAACGCATGGCAACACGTGGGGATTCCGTAATTTACCTGCCGCACTCGTAGGCAAACTCAGCGTAGACACAGAGTAGAGACATACAGAGAGGTACCTGACCGTCGTAAACACTGCGGAAGATTCCGTTATCATGTACCCACTTTTTTTCAGGCGACCGGGCGAAAAATGAGCAAGTTTAAAGTGAGTCGTCATCAGGTCGTCGTCCAATCAGATGCATGCATCTAGTAACTTGCCGAGCATGCGCACAAAAAAGTGGGTACACTAGTTACGTCTCTGTATGTCTCTACTCTGTGACGTAGATCTCAGCATTTTCTTTACGGGTGAACTTTCATCTGATTCCGTTTCTTCATCAATAATATCGATACCAGAGAATGAAGGTACACCTTCTTTGTCCATATTCCAACAACGTACTTTGATCATACTGCTATTTGTAAATGCCAAGTAACAACCTCGATGATCAGAGAAATTTGCTTATTCGACAGTTTCGACCGTGCTACTTTCCATGCTGTCGCTAACAAATTGCAAACTTCTTTGAGCAACATTGCGTTCTTCCCCGTTTAGCGTTAGCCAAATTCTACGACAATCTAAAAATGTTTTATATAAAACCGCACTAAAACTTGTAAGTGGGCCTTTTTCCCATCAAAATGAACTAAACACGAGTAAGAAGACGACATATTTACAAACGGCTAACCTGGAAACTTCATGTAAGAACAAATGTGAGCCCGCAAGAATCGCCATTTACAGTGTTTATTACACCAAGTATCCTGAACAAAAATGGCGGCGATCGATTGCGAAAGATGTTGATTTCTTGAATTTTCGAAGAAGAAATACTCGAAAACTGCAGGTTTTGGGAAGTGCAAACAAACAGATTTGGACTTCGTATGATTTATTCTAATTATTTATCTTGTTTCAAAGTAGTGCCCGAACCCGGGCAACGGAATTGAACGACCTCATGCTACAGAATACGGCCTAATTTACAAGCAATTTCTTTCAAGAGTCCAACAATTTAAGATCCCATCAACGCAGCAAACAGTATAAATGGTCTTACGTAACAAGGTATGATACGTCACAAGGTAGTTCAACATCCATGCAAGGTTTACACACCCTTAAACTAAGGTTACACATGCGATTTTTTCTCGTTGTAATGTTTTAGCAATTAACTGATTTCGCCATGTATCGACAGTGGTGTGTAAACTTGGAGATATAGGCTTTACTTGACCACGTTACATGATTTGTCGCACCAAATATATTTTTCTCCAGCCAGTCAACTTGTTAAGTAAAGCAATTTCAGGGTGTCCACGGGCATTGAAAATCCTGGAAAGTCCTTGAATTGGAAAAAAATTCCAGGACATGAAAGTCTTTGAAAATCAGTAGAAGTCCTTGAAAGTCCTATAATTAATTTCCTTAACCTCCAGCTGTGCCAACATTAGTAATTTTGATTAAAATTACTGAATAAAGTGAATTATTTACGGCAAATCCGTGCCATTTTCAAAGATTTTTCCCAGTTCTAGGTCCTTGAATTTACTGAAAAAGGGCCTTGAAAGTCCTGGAAAAGTCCTTGAATTTCACCGTCACCGAAGGGTGGATACTCTGCAATTTTCATTGGCTGTCAATCTAAATATAGTAAGTTGTAATTTGATTTTTTCGCCAATTGTTGTCGAAAGTTAAATCGTTTTAACTTTCGGCAACGATTGGCGTCAAGTTAAATCGCACGTGTAACCTAGACTTTAGGTTGTTGCATCCTAACGTGCCGGACGAAGAGCCTTGGCTCGAAACGTAGTCGTATGTCTTCCACACCGCAACCCTTTGCTACGGTCTCTATACCTACAATGGTACCGACCGTAAATATACCTACAATGGTACCGACCATAAAATATGTATACCTACCTATGAACACCATCGTGTGAACAAGCCATGCGAAACTGCCAAAAGGTACCCACGGGAATATCTATAAAAAGGTAAAATTTTGTTAGAGTACGTTATACTGATGCTCAATTAGCCTTTCTTAAGAAGAACTGCCATAGCAATAAGCCGAGAATTGCCATTGCCCCCGATGTTTGGGTTTGCAAACGCCAAGGGAGAAACTAAACACAAAGAAACGAACTTAGTGAACTAGTGAAGTAAAAAAACAGTACTATTGTTACTTTACTAAATCACTTCTTAATTGCTTCTTGCCGTTCTGTTGGAGTGCGGTTTGCCACCCAAAAATCGGGGACAAGGCCTGGACGTATGACTTGTAAGCCTTTGTATAAGGAACCTCGTGTCCCATTGCTTAGCCTGCTGACTCGTTCTTTCACAAATGTCGTAAATAAAATAAAATGAAATTAAGAAAGGCTATAATTATTAAGCTCTCCTTGTATTTTCCAGCTAATAGTATCCCTACCAATCAGAGGTTTTCCTATTATTACCACAAACCATTCAAGATTATAACACAGCATATTACGAGAATACCATTGTAGAACAATGAACAAGCTTTCGTTGGTAATTAGGATGCAACTATAGCGGAAAATATATAAGGAGAATTTCCACGTTTCGAGCGAAGGCCGTTCGTGTGGAGTTACTAAAACAAGCCTACACTGAGCTACGAGGTCAAGTTTGATAGAGGCTATATGGTTTATCATTTACATGCAGTATATCACTAATATGAGTTATGGAAACATGCTCGTTCATATGAAACGAGCAACGAACTACACTAAGTACCGAACTATGAATCATTGATACCTGGTATACTTCCATAAATTTTCTCAGTAAATTTTGGTTTTCGTTTGCGATAATCAGGATCCTTATCGTCATCATCATCAACGTAATTTTCATCTAACGGTTCCTCCACAACATCTCCATTCTAAAGCGTATTAAATATGTGACCACACGGAAAAATTTAGATCTTTCATAGATTATATATACGTGACGACATAGTCGCTAGTTTAAACCAGGCTTAAGCAGACACGCAATAAGGATTGCAGCAACCTAATGCTAATATCTATAAGCGAATTAATTTAACCAATACGCAGTACTCGTGTGACTCATAGTCGTGGAGGGCAGGAGACAACTTAATGTTGTAGCTAGAGGTGGCTTAATAAAGTTCTTCTTCTAAAGAGCGAGGACTTACATGTATTAGAGAGGAGAGGGCTCAAAAGAGAAATCACTGTGTCAAAACTCATTGTATAATTAAACATTTCATCAATAATCTTAATAATATTGCCAATGATACGATTAGTTGTAATCAATACGATAAGTAATCAGTTGCCACTTAAGTGATGAATCAGTTAATTGGGAGCAGTTCTACCAAAAATTAATTGCAGAAGTATTCTTTTAAACTTAATCAGTTTCCTCTTGCTCAAAGGAAGATTAATCATTGTCCCAGGCGTTCACTCTCTTTTTCCCCACCAAAAGCAAGAGTGAATATATGTGAGAAAGGCTTAACTGCTTCATCTTTAATGTTTTAAATGTTATATTACTCCTACTTTTCATGGGGCGTACTTCGAATTACAGGGGTGGAAAAAATAGGCGAGCACTGCTCGCAGGAAATGTTAAATAGCTGCAGGAAATTCGTTTGAATGAAGATTTGCTATTGAAAATTTGAAGGAAACCTTAACACCCATGTCCCACTATCAGGGCGCAACAACATATATGGTTGACAGACATTATTCCTTGAATTTAATTAAAACCATTGTCAGCTAGAACATTGTATGTTGATAAACATGCAGATTTAGCACAAAAATACTCCGTTGGTCCACAGGAAATTTTTGTCTCCAGGCTGTGTTCTCAGGAAGAAAATTCTTTTTTCCTACCCTGCTTCGAAACCCGGACTCGGACTCGAGAAAAATCCCGAACCGGTCTCGAAAAAAGTCCGGACTCGTCTTTGAGAAAACTCGGACTCGAAATAGAAAAGAACTGGATTCGAAACAAGGACTAGTGTACGAGAATGGAAAGGTTTTTTTGCAAAGGAATAGATTAGTTAGTGTAGGCAATGGCATGGTTTCGAGTGCAATTTGGATATAACATGCACAAGTGAGTTTTTCAAAGACCTCAAAGTAGCACTATTTGAGTTCTTTGAAAAACTCACGAGTGCATGTTTATCCAAATTTCACGAGAAACCATGCTATTACTTATTAATAATTTACATAAAGGTATTCGAGACAATCAAATTTGAACTTGACCTTTATTAATAAACAAAGAACAAGTATATTAGCTATCACGTCAAAACGCATAAACTACAGGGGTCAGGGTGTATCAAAAAACTTGCAAACCCTTTGACATACAATGTTTTTAGAATTTGCATGATTCAGAACTAATTGATCCCAAGCGTGCGTAAACACAATAGTTGACCCATTCGCAGTCGAACTGATAATTAGTTTTCTGCATTACAAATAACTTTGTGTTATTCTATATAATTTCTATCAATGCGGTTAATTAGAATCGGTATTTTCGGATCCCAGGAGCAAAATAAGTAGCACATGCAGACATTGAAATGCTAGTATGCAGCAGAATTATGCAAATTATAGTGTTTGCAGGTTTTTTGATACACCCTGCAGACATCACAACTGCCAAAGCAGTTGGTACAAAACACTAATTGCTTGTTCGTGTTCGTGTAATTTTTAAGCATCGAAAAGGCAAACAATAACCGTAACACTTTAAAAAAAATAACCGTAACATTTTAAATAACCATAACACTTTAAATAACCCTAACACTTTTAGTTAAATAACCGTAGTCACAGACGAGCAATATTTTTATGCATGTTATTAAAATGATAAACAATTATCTCGTTATAACAATAATCAGTATATACATCTAAGTAAATATCTAGAGTGCTGTTAAACTATCTGGCGTAGTGATAACGAATCTGAGTTGCATCAGTAATAATTCGCGTATCTGTGCTCTCGCACGAGTGTCGCTCTCCATTCCCACTTTCTAGACAGACAGACAGACAGACAGACAGACAGACAGACAGACAGACAGACAGACAGACAGACAGACAGACAGACAGACAGACAGACAGACAGACAGA